AAGCTTCAGTTTTTCCACCATAGTGCAGAATCCCGCATTTCAGCCCTAGCACAACGAGACCGGACCGTCCCATGGGATATGGTAGAACCAGCAAGCTGGGAGTCGGCCACTCGGGGTTGGGTAGTGCTTAATCGGCGTATAGGGTCAAAGTCTATTAAAAATCGGAGACAGAAGCTGAGAACGAGTTTATATTTAAGGAAAAGGCGTTACCGAAGAGCGTTGGTACACGTGAGCCAATCAAGAAAATGAAGGGAAGCAACAGGCTTATCCCAGCCATTTGGGTTGCTTGCATTATCAACACCGCTTGCGCAACTGTCGTTAGAGGAGAGTCGCTGATGCTGTTTGAAGGGGTGTTTGGTGGTTTGTTCTCGCAGAAGTGGTAAGAAATAAGGCCTGTGTTCGCACTGGCCGTCGGGGGCAGTGCTAGAAAGGAAAAGAGGAACCAGGGTCACCCATTAGTTTGCTGCGCGAAAGTCAGTGCTCTGGCTATGGTAGAGAAACGTATGCACAGTCTGCACCTGCGTAGGCCTTAGAAAATGCCTTCTGTTCTTCCGATTGCTTACTAACCAAGTGTGACAATAGAAGATGCATTCCGTTTATTTCAGTATGGAACGACCGCGCATTTTTATGCTTAATTTGGGCTTGAATTTCCGATGCATGCATGTTGCACATTGCTAGAAGTCAGTGGATAGCCCTTTTGTTTAGATTGATTGGATTACATTTACCGAAATCTACAGGTGGCTTGTGAGGAATGACGGAAAGGCCCTTTTCATTGACAATGTGCGCAGCATGTCTAGGACAATTAGGCATCTCCCATTTTTATTCCTGCTCAATATTCTGTACGTTATTTTTGACGGCTTGGGGCATGTGCCCACATTTTCCGTAGTGTTTGGCACTGCTTTTGTCTCTTTGCTGCACCTCGTCTTCGAGCGACAAAATGTGTGGTAAACAGAATGCGCAACCGCACATTGAGCCACAAGTGTTTCCAACTAATGAACACTAGACACACTAACAAGATAAGCACCAGGCGACCTGCATATCCATAGCCTTACACGCCCCTCAGCCCCCATAGAGAACAAATGCAAATACACGATCGTCTAGATCATAAAGTAAAGATGATTATGCATACACGGGATGATTCGTAGGAAACATTAGATTCCAGACTTTGCTAGAATTGTATAGTGTTCCCCCACAGTTCAGCCTAACAAAGGAACGGGGCTCAATTTAAGACAGAGACGAAAAATGGACAGATTCTAGAACTAGCTTCACGTGAGCTGCTTGTGACCAAAGCAGACTTGAAGTCCAGGTTTATGGAGAAGCTATCACTCCAAAGATTCCGCTTGGCTTGCACGCACCATTGCAGACACGAGCAGTTTTTAATGGCTTAGCAGCCTATTACTGTAGATTTTGCAGACTTGGCGGTTCCCTTGAAGCCACGAACCGTTTCTAGTAATGGCGTGTCTCAATCTTGGTACGGGCGTCTGATCGGGAACCGTGCAGCAACCGGCCTCGTGAAGGCGAAAGCGTGGGAACGAAGATTCATCCAAAGAGATCTTATATGCAATATATGCGGGGCTTCCCAATTCAGGAAAAAGGGCCTCATGCATGAGATAAAGAGCGCGTCGATGTTTAGGAAGGTTGGGCAGAGCGATTCTCTAGTTTGGGATGGCCACACTGGTGCGCCGAATTTGCGTCGGAGACACTTGCTACTCCACCTTGTTGACAAGGCTTGGAACAGCACCAGATATCAAGTATTCGCCTCAGTTTATAAACTGGTTAGTCTTTGAAGGCTCGGCTGTGTGGATGGAAACACTCAAATAGCAGAGGAGCTTGATGGACTGGAGTAGTGGCGCCAGTTGGAGGTGCAGTAAGCACTCGTAGTCCCTTTATGTGGTCCTCAGGGTTTTCGGTCTTCTGGCCAGTGATTCAAGGCTAGAGCTTCCCGCCATCACTTGCTTAAGCCTAGCAGTTTTCACAAAGCTTGCTGCTAAACTGATCGTAGCACGAAGCGGTAAGTCCGGGCCCGTAATATAGCTTAATCCGTTGTATTCTCTGCAAGCAGGCCAGTTTCTCTAATTAAATAAAGCCACAATAGCAGTGCTTTGCGAACTAGTATATAAGTTGGAAGGAACACCTCATTCACATAAAATGGATGGTGCGAAGCCAGTAACACTAACAACCACATGGCAGAATCTTCTACTTGCCCATCCTTAGTGCTTTAGGCTTCCCCGACCGGCAAATCCTCAATAACGCATCCGTAGCATGCTGGTTGGCTGGAATATTATTTTATTTTACTATCTGTGAGGCTTAAAAGTTACATCGTCTTGCATGCCGATATCCCCCTTCTCAACTCGCACGGAACCACCAATGCCAACGGGAAGACTATTGTCACCGTAGGATGACCCTTAAATTCAAGCTCTCTGCAAATTCAATAGAAAACCCTGAAAAGATTTACCAAGAAAGCTCTCCCATTATCCTGACCACCTCGGAGTTCCGAAACACGAAATTACAGCTGGGTGAACACAGCGTGTCTCACAAAAAAGAACACGCCTTGTTGTGACGAGCTATATCTACGCTGCAATAATATATCATACGATGGGTGAGGCCAATAGGTCAATTCTTTATTGAAGTTAAAATAATTATAACTGGTGTGGCAGAAGTTGGGTAAGTGTAGCTTAGCCCGCAACAATCTGGCTGCCCATACATCCTATTTATTGTGGCTCAATATCACCTTCGCACTACGGTAGTGCATGCTGCCTAGCAGTGCACGAAGGTGCCTTGCATTGCTATGAGTATATGCCTAGGGTGTTCTGCGATTATCCAACTAGCACTCCTGCTGTTCTATCCCCCCCTTTGGCCGGCAACTTGAGGATTGGGTGAGGTGCACAAGGCAGCTCAGGGAAGAGGCCAAGAATAAATCGTGCCTTTGGTTTTGTCAGGGTTTTGGATGAGGCGCTTCTTGAAAAGAGCCTTCGGGGACCTTTATATTGATCGTTAGCTGACTAATAGTTGTTCCATGGACGGTCTCCCTAATTTATAATCTACATAGTTGGTCCTGACTGCACAAAGGTAGTCATGAACCAATGGCGCAATGGCGATCCGACAACAATTTGATTTGCATTTAGCCCTTTAAACTAAAAGGCACCAATGACTTGATGCACTAAAATATTTGACACAAAAGCACATGCTTACTTCGCTTCTCATACTGAACTAATGTTCCTGCAAAATGGGGATAAAACACATAAATAGTGCTTACCGTTTGATACATGATACTGCCGAAACCTACAAACCCCACGTTGCTTGGGCTCTGCCTCCGGGACTGATGGGGCTGCCCGCCAGATGCATGCATACAGATCTTCGGAGTTGACTGCTCAGTGCTTGCACACTCAGAGCGCGCATACGCAGTGCTGGTATGGAACGCGAATATGAACAATAGATTGTTAGGTGATGTGAGCAAAAAAATCTATCATGTGCTGTCCAGGGGTAGGCTAGCCCGGCAACACCCCTTGGGTGAGAGGTACAGCGTTTCGCAAATGATCTCCAACACAAGGCTTAAACACCGTTACTTTTCCCTCTAGTGTTGAGGTCGAGAAGCATAAATGGGATGGGTCACGTTGGAAGGGCGGCTTTGTAGACTAGCAATGCTGCAGAGGCCTAGGATGGGCCTTTCGGTATCAATAAAGCATTGAGATAGTCATGTGAAGAGCAAAATGAACGGCTTTCTTACAGAGTGTTGGTGATTCGAAAGGTTGCTGTGGCTTGCTAAAATTCTGCAAGCATGATTCGTCGATGCGGATTTTTCTTCCTCGCAAGTAACAATAATCCTGAACTGAGATTTGTGTGCCGATACCACATGCCAGCCTTTTTTATACAGCAAGAATGCTAGAGTCGTTTCTGCTGCCGCGCATAAATTTAGCGCTATCAAATATATTTGAGGACCTCGAAGCCCATCAGGTGGACGCATCAATACTGAATGGCTTCTTGATTCTGCGGAACTTGAAACTCAAGCGCGATGCTTTGGCAGCACTTTCGCTGCCTATCGATGTGACCTATGGGCACGTAGGAAAGTTAGAAATTAAGGTATGCTCTACAGGTACCGGCACACTGCTTGCATACTTAGGTGATCTTTATGATCTACGGGAACAAAGGGATTCCCAGCCGGAAAATTCGCTCTGATGCTTTCTGTTTTTGCTGCGTAGCCCTGAACTGTAATATTTGCTACTAAAAGTTGCCTGATCAATACGAGATTTATGGATAGTCACTGGATGATTGTGATACGGCCTCTACAGCTTAAATTGTGGCGACTGTTATCGGAGCCCATTACGGTGTGCGCTGAAGATATACTGATCATCATCACCAGCCAGCCCCCCTCTGACTGGAATGTCGAGAGAGAAGAGCGTGTCCGAGATCAACATCGCAATCTCATTCTTTTGACAGATGAATGTCTGACATATGCACGAGAGGAATCAGGTCTTCCATGTGTGTTACAGCGGGCGGCTTACGCGATTATTCAAAGAATCAGGCTATCTCTAACTAGGCTCGAATTGAGGTTAGAAGACACAGAAACGGACTCAAAACGTCATTTTGCTCTCGGCATGCGTGTCTCACGTTTGTTTAGCCTTCGCTGCGCCTCCGCTTGGGAAGAAGGCCCTGCACTTGAGTCGGAAACAACACCAACTCACAGCAGGACTGCTGATTCCCGAGCCTCCCTAGGGCATGATTCTCAAGGTTGGTTTGGCTGGATAGTGGACTTCCACGGACGCAAAGAAAAGAGTGCAATTACTTCTACTGAGGGGATCGCTCAGTCATTCTACCTGAAAACAATCCTTGAAGACGCTTCTGTTTACTTGGACCCTCTCAACGACGACCATCACCGCAGATCATGGCTCCCATACCCAGCAGCATTTAGAGAGGAGATCCTCGATAACTTGAGTCAACTACTTGTAACAGAGAAACCGTGCCTCAGTACAGACGAATCTAGGCTTCCCATCCCTCTTGCATTCCCAGAACAAGGTGCGGGGACGGGTTGTGCAACTCCTGTGCCTCTAGGTACACTTAGGGAAGTCTTTGAAGGCAGAAGAAAGCAAAAGGAGCAAACGTCGGACACGCTAGATGACCGATACGCATCAGCGTTACAGCCGTCACATCAGCGAAAGTCTGTCACGAGATGGAGGGGCTGTGGCCGCCTGCGATTAGGTCAGGCAGAGGCTACTCGTCCTACTGAAGAGCCAGCCGACGTTCGCTGTAGTTCTACTCACCGAGCCACAGCAAGACCATCCGGTGCAGCTAATGTACACGTGGCATATCCCGAGGAGAGCAGCAAAACCGTCACGGGATTATTACGATTTAGCGACTTGTACTGTCCAACAGAGCTATGGAAAGTAGCTAGCCTTCAATCCACCAATCATATGTATATTCTGAAACCAGGCGAGGTGCAACTGCGAGCAAGGTGCTTGCAACGCCCAATGGCATCTTCTTGTGATAGTGCAAGAATATTTGCTCGTCCGTTCCCAACAACTATGGCCACGGGTCCGGCAGCTGATAACATACTTCTGGGGATGAACGGGGAAAATGAAGCCGTGGTGCATGCATCTGCTTCGCCAATGGACGAGTCACCGCCTGCTCTCTCAGTAAATATTGTAGCTCACGGAGCGGTCCTTCAATTTACAGTGTTTCAGATGTCCTCTATCTTCCGCTGGCTTCACTACGCTGTAGTTCTATACCAAGAACTCGTTTCAGGTGTCTATGCCATGTGCCTGTAAGTCTTCACTAACTACTTAGCGTCTACAGTCCTGTGTCATCTTCTTCACGTCTGTAGTCTTGGCGTAGCAGCGGTGCTCGAATGCGGCTTTAGGGAGGCTAGTCCGTCACAAGAGGAACTAATGAGGTATAGACTTGCGTGGAGACGCCATCTTCTGACCAACGCTTTGGTAGCAACAGGCGGGGGTAGAAAGTCAGAGCTACAGAAACAAGATATTCAGAAGAAGGAGTTCCTTAATAATACTTTGGTGAGTTCTTTTGATTTTGGACCTGCGAAAACGGCAGATGAGGACTTCATTCGACTCTTCGAGGCCAAATATTGGCCTACAGTGATCATTCCAGCAAGGCAACAGGTCCTTCAGGATTTGCAGCGACAAATCCGCCTTGGCCATTGTAAAGAGGTTTACCTTTCTTACCAGCAGAGGAATACCTTGGAGATGTCAATAGGGCTTTCTGAAGCAGCACCGCTTACTCCACAATCCAAGCGTGGGGAGGAGGGCATCGAAGAAGTCCATGAATACACGGATGTATCTGATATTCAAGTAGACCCAGGCATATTGCACGAAGTGGAGGAGATGGCGTACGCACTGGGAGCCAAAATAACTGTGCCCGCCGAAGCAGATCCGAATTTTGTGAAGTGCATTGAACAAATGCAATTTCAGCGGTTCTCGAAGAGCTTTGAATTCGCCCTTCAGCTTGACCACCTTCAGTTGACCCTTGGACCTGATTATGAGGCTCCTGCATTCATTTGCATGGCTGTGGGCAAAATGCACGCTCAGGTTGCAGCGTACTACGATCTCCGTACGTCTGCAGTTGCCGCTTTCAATTCCATTCAAATAAGGGACAACCTTATGCCCAATCTGCCTCATTGTTTTTCAGTCTCAAGCCAAGCGTGTGCCAAAGCTCTCAACTCTTCGGAAAAAGTCTCTGACCATGCCGCTTTTTCAAAAGACCGGGAAAATATCCAGTCTTCAGACACCTTCATATCTTCCCATGATGACGAACACACTAGAGATACTTTTCTTAGCGGCACACCACCATTGTGCACGTTTCATCCAACAGAACAACCTTGCATCCCAAAGTGGAATAACACGTGCACATGGCCAGCAGGATGCTGCCCATTCAAGACTCCAACGGAGCTATTCACGAAGCCTAAGAGCAAAAAGCAAGAATCCCGAAATGATCTAGGAGGAGGGTGGATACGTTTTGAGAAAGTTTTTGTACCTCTAGAGGGTGTACCAGATTTGGTCCTTTACATGCAGACTCATGGCTCACTTTTCTGCACAGTAACACCAGATGCAGTATTAAAACTTGCACAGGTACTTCAGGGCTCAATACAGCTGGCTGAAAGGAGTACGATCCTAGAGGCCACGAGCGAACGGGTGCAAGAGGCACTGCGTCATAATGAGCTATTTATGGCCCGGTCACATCTGTATGCAGCCGACCACCAAACAGTTGATATATGTATTGACATTCCCATATCCCATCAGCTGCTTCTTCCATTCAGTAAAAAAGAGCCCGAATGCCCAGGAATTCTGCTTCGGTCTGGAGTGATATCTGTGGATACCTACACGCGGCGTCCCGATATTCAGAATTCCAAGTTGCCCCGCGACGCCCCAATCAAAAGATACGATAGATATACAGTCACAATCACGGGTGCCTCTGTTGAGCGCGTGCCAAACTGCCTAGACTTTCTGCGCAGGTTTCAGGGTACTGAGAACTCTGATGCCTGCTCTTACTGCAAAGGAGATTCAACGCGACGCCATACGATTCGTTCTGCAGCAACCACAATTCATGGCGGTCCATCAGATCCATTTGCATTCTCAAAAGAATTTCGCTGGTGTACCAAGCCACAGGGTGGCGTTACTGATGGTGTACGGGCTCGAGAACCCGTGAACATACATGTGGGTAGTGAAAGTGAAGAGAACACCATGGGTGCTAGTCAAGACGCAGTGATATCCAATGATCCATCCCACTTTTGTGTTGGAGATACGTCACAAGCCTTCCTTATTTGGCCAACCAGCATAGAAGGCTGTGTTGACCTCTGCCATGCTTTTAATTATCCGGATCTCCCAGCATTCTGCGTGACTCTACAGGACCAACAATACAGGTGCCATACGCCGTTTCTCGCCAGCCTTGAGCACTCCTGTATAAATTGTACCAAGGATATTGATCTTTTGCTACGATATTTGCTGCACATGCTGTCATGCTGGACAGAACATGAGCCAATTGCTGGATCAGTATCTTTATCATGCTTCTTTGCAGTGGTGTCTATATTACTCTGAGCGACGAAGATATCATTGCCCTCGCTGGGTACTTTGCAGAGCTCCAGACCTTGGTTCAGGCCCTTTCTACGCTATGGAACCCTCATTCAGAGGCAGAAGATGTCATTTTTACAAACCCCGTCTCCTCAGATAGTCCTGTTCAAATGCCGGCCCAGGGAGTCAAGAGATCTGTTGATGTTGCAACAGAGCGGCTAGACATACACAACAAAGAAAAGAAGGTTCGTTTACATGGGCATAATAATGACCCGATTGCATTTGTCTAATATTGGCAGACGTCAAACACTGTCGCTGAAGAAGTTTTGCGATTGGTGTATGAGAGTGCGATCATCAGGAACTATTGTACGAGAGGCAAGATTTCTTCGGCCTGCCTATCGTATTGCAGTAGATCGGAAAGCTTGTGATCAAAGAAATTTTTTTACTTGGATCGCTGCAAGGTTGCTCTGATTGGTGCAATGTGTTGCAATGCTGCAGCGGCGCATTAATCGTGGAAGGCGGACCACCGACTACACACGACTTTGCAATGCCACTAGGAACGGGATAACGTTGCAATTTGGGAGATTTGGAGGCCTCAGCACAACATTGGGGAGAAATACCTTCGTCTCCCGCCTTAATTATGCAAGATACTCTACATTGAAGCGTGTTTCTACGCATATACATCGTAGGCGCCACACCTATGGCACGTCTGTTCCACGCGAAGATGCCCATGGCAGAAGAGCGACTCTCAACAGATCAATCTCACCCACGCAGTACTGCGCCGAACCACGGCTGACAACCCTGTATTCTGTGGATGAGCCCTGTAGTTACACAGACCCTGAAGCTACTGTGTGGAGGAACAACTCACTGAGAACGCAACATTGGGAAGCGGAAAAAGAGAAGGCTCACATCAGCAGTTCACTCAACCCAAACAGCGCTTCCAACGACAGAGCAAGAAACCGAGCCGATAGGGCCGGCCACTCATATTCTGGAAAAAACAGTCGTCGACCTGAAGCCAGCTGCCATAGCCTGAGTGGCTTCGATATTCGTCTCGGCCTGTCCGTCTGTGAGATTTGGCTGGTAAGGGAAAGCCACAAGGGCGTTCGCAGCATACAAAGAGCACATGGAGCTCATGTTCACTTGGCCAGCGCAAATCCGTGTCCTACGAACCCTTCCACCGGTATGTCAATAATGTTTGGGATAGGCAATCCTCGCATCCGGTTAACGTGTGTCTCGCATATGACACGGTGCTCGTGTGTGGCGACTTTCAACGAGGTATATCACTCCATATGGCCATCTGAACTGGAGGAAAGAAGGCCTGTTAACGCCTCTCATACAGAAAACAGACCTATACATTCACCAGTAGGATGGAAAGGACTGGCAGTGAAAGAGAATAACTTACGCTCCAAGAGGCTGAACTCAAGCTCCGCTACTAATAAGAAGTTTGTTGACACGCGGACACCCCCTGCGCAGGAGATCCAAACTGGAGCTTCAGTAGATGACTGGTCGCCCTCTCTTCATGTATCGCAGTCTACCCTACGTTTACCGCTTTTCCAGTTCATCCCTAAGCAGCAATCAAGCAAGCTGGACTATCTAACCGCGGCTTCTGATGTTGCCACCGCCCTAGTTGAAGCTGCAGCTGCCCATGGGGCCCCACTCCTATTCAGAAATAACAAGGAACCCGTGTCAACCGAGGCACTACAAACAGTATTCCTGAGCAATCAGTTGAGGTTTACCACAATGTGGGCCTTTCCGCCAGCATACCCTGAACAAGGGCACAGGGAACAAAATTTCAATCAGGGACCTTCACTGGCAGGCCCTCGAAAGAAGAACGCGTATCAACGGAATTCTCATGCTAAACTGCAGGGGTGCAGCCGCAGCAATAGTGAAATGCGAGAAAGTGATACGTCGCAGCCTGGCAAATGGGCAGCAGACGAAGAGGTGTTTGTAGAAGACTTGGTAGGGGGGCATTGTTTTCTGATCCCTTCGTATGTACATGCTTCTTTAGCAGTAAGAAGCACATGGCAAACGCTAGCCAAAAGAAACCCAGACATTTCCGTTACGGCAACGGTTTGCCTCAGAGCACCCCTGCACTCCATCGACATTCGGTGTAATCGTCTAAGACTAGCCCTGGACTGGGGCATGCTTGCAGAGCTTACTGGTAGGTCCTAATAATGGTATATGATAAATTCAGGCAAACTAACCTACCTCACTCTATAACAGCACGCAAGTGTTTCGACTTGCTTGTGGCTGCGTTACAGCCCTCACTGTGGAAATAGTCGAAGCAGCCGGCATGGCGTGTGCTCCCGCAAATCCAGTGGCTTTTGATCCTCCTCTCGACAGAGCTTGCCAGCGAGTGAACGATCCTCACAATCACCATTGTGAGGCCACTGTCCCAGATATGTGGACCTCTCCTTCCCTCTCCAAAAGCAAGGTCCATGTAGATGGAGGATTCGGAAGCCCTTGGAAAGATGGGACGTTTGATGTCATCTGTTTAATACTGGAGGGCATTTTACGCCCGTGGAATGTACAACTTAGCTTTGTGCTAGATTTCTGTGAGGTGATGCTACCTATCATTGGGCCTTCGCCATGCCCTGCACTGCCGTTATTGTGGGCAGAATTTGTTGAGGGTTACGTACTGTGGACGGATCGGATCTCAGACTTCACACCGCGCCTTCAAACAGACAAGGGTCGTCCATTGCTTGGCACCTCAGTCGATCAGAGAATTTCATTTCACAGTCATCCCAATCTAAATCCATATCGCCCTTGCCTAGCATTGAACTTGCAGCCATACTCAGCGGCCTCAAATGCGGCAACTAAGCAAAAAGGAGACGTGCAGGGGCCTTGTATGGAAACTCCAGGCACCAATGTTTTTTTTGATGCTCCCATCGTCATGCCCCCACCTGCGATTGTTGTTTCTTGTCGGCTAGCTGCCTCCTACTATTTGGAACGTTGCCCTGTACGAAATACCGAAGAAAGACCCTCCTGCGCAACAGCAGCAGATTTTAACGGCCCTCAAGATGTACGAACAAGGATAAACAAGCTGCACAAAACAGCGAGATTTACAGGGATCGTCCACGACATTCGTGCTGATATGCTGCAGCTGTCGAGGAGCTCGCGTGGATCGGAAGGTGCTACTAAACTAGGTACGGATCTGGGACGGTTGCCGCGGTCCTTTCAGCTGGTAACCCACGCCCTGCCACGTCGCGGCAGCCGCTTAACGCCTCCAGAATTTACTCATCCAGAGCTAGCTCCAGTAACACTGCCTGATGTTTTCCACGTTATCTGTGATGAAGACCAGCTTAACGCCAGAAAAAGTCGGCGGCGATCTGCTTCCACCGGTTCTTGCGTGATGAAGAGTGGGGGATCGGAGTTTTCTATTTTTAACACCAGCAATCAAGCCAGGGATTTTCAAGCTTATCCAAAACTTTGCGGCAGTAATCCAGTAGCTCAACTTAAACGTTGGTTTGTTGAAAGACACACAGTAATTGACGGCTGTCGCTGTAGGATGATGGCAACCTGCAGGGTAGTCGAAGAACTGGAAAACCCAGGGGATATTTCGGAAGGTAGAATTAAACAGGGGTGTCCAGATGATATTGTAAAGGAACTAGGGATTGGCTATCCTTGCATTGCACGGACAAAAAGAATTCGATCTGTATATGGGGCAGCGATCCACCCATGCACAGATAGGAAATCTCAGGCCACCATCGAGGCGATGGTGGAAGTGGAACCCCTGCTAGTACGCATGCAGTCGGGATAAAGGTCAAGTAGTAGATTCTCAGACACCTAATTATGCATTTTGTACGGATGGGAAAACTTTTAATGACCAGAAAACCAGTGGCACATTTGGACACAATGGTGTACCGTTGTGATATTGAGCGGTGTGAAGTGAGTTCATTTGCGGAGTCAATTCGCAGGTAAACTTAAATGGAAAGGCAGTAGTGGCTATCGGGTCGATGCATAAAGCGCTGCAAGCAGCTTTTGCCACAGACACTGCGGCTTCGCAAAGGAGGCATCAGTTCGACAAAGCAACGGTTAATAGCGCAGCACATGCTAGTTCTTTGCTAATCAGTACGGCACCGGGGAGTGTGACGGCCACGAGTGATTCAAGAAGGCCGTACACCACAAGTAGCGGTACTGTACCATTGGTTGGCTTGCCAAGCTCAGGGGACCAACTAGAACCTTCATGCTCCGCAAGCCCCTCATCATTCTTGTCTGCAGTGTCTGTAGTGTCTTGCGCCCCTTCAGAGAGCGCTCGTGTTTGCTCGCTTAGTAAAATGAGTCCCGGCGCTAGAAGAGATCATCAAAATTCAACTGAATGTGCGCACGAGTTTTCATGTGCCATTATAAACAATAATCCAAATTTTGGAACGGGACCAACCGGATTGTCATGGGTTTGGAAGGTCTTGCTGTCCGTGGATGCTTTAGTCTCGCTGAACTGTAAGATAGAGTGCATTCAACTGGAGAGCCCGTCCTTGTGTGCCACATTGGAGGACTTGGAGATATCTTTTGGCCTTGAGTGAGATATGCGTATATAAATAGTACTTCGAGACAGTATATGGTCGAATCAAAATTCGGAAAGGCCGTATACTTGCCCGCAGTAGCTGCTTTTCTGGCTGCTTTCTCTGTTGGAGCGTGTTGCCACCGACTACTGCTTTAACCGTTAATCAGTGCAGCTCTGGCCTCACTGGTCAATTCTTTGAGGTGTGTATGTAGTCTTACTGTAACTCTTTGCTTTACTCACACCCAGGCCTCTCTGCGGCACCGCTGGACGGCCTGTAATGAAACTGGAGAGCCCTCATTATGGCAATGCTGCGTCAAGCTTTAAGACCCCCCAACAGAGCCATAGAGGCACGAAGTACAAAATGGAGTCTTTTCTCAACGAGACTGTCACAAAAGGTACTCCGCATCAGGCGCATGCAAGAACAAGTGGTGGCGTGCTGGCCGCTACACATACCGTTTGCATGCCTGCACATTTTACGGAAGCATCCAGCAGTACCGGCGTAGAGGAAACAAGTGCATACTTGGAAATTCGGTTCATGATCTCCGCTGATGCACTTCACAAGCAGAGGGCAGCTCTTGAATCTGCTGTAGAGCCATGGAGTTGCCGCATCAACATTCGATATGTAAGGTGCCCCTCTAGCTTGGTCAGGCGTCCAACAACTAGGCCATTGTCCCTTCTTGGAACGGCTATTAAAAACGCATCGTAATGTTGTGATAAAATGCTGTTTCTGGGTGCCTACGCGATTCTGTAGAAACCTTTTGACACACTGATAAACATGCTTCTCACCTACATTCGCGATATGGAAGGAGCAGTCCAATGGAGCGACCTGCAAACATCGTTGCTCAGAGCAGAAGCCGCTACACTGTGGAAAGAGCCGCCGCGGCACTGCAACTCTACTCTCAAACGGAGTAAAGTGCCGGTCCGCAATCTCAGCAGCTCTCACTTTTTCACATGGGACGGCAACCGTAAACAAATAAGACAGCTCCCAAGCAGTGGCGCACGTGGTAACTTCACTAAAATCATAAAGCGCCCCAGCGACCGTGGCAGGTACCTAGATCATTTGACAGAAATGCTGGGCGAATATGGAACAGAACTTTATGCCGAGCTAGAATGCTCCTGGCTAAACGTGACAGCAGCGCCTTTCCTTGTGGATGCAATATTAGATACTTTGAGCCTTGCAGAAACAGCTCAGAAGGCACTACAAGAGCAGATCAACCTGTACGACTCTACCCTATAGCTGTAAGCGTTGAGAGTAGTGCTCTACCTTGTCAGCATTCCAAAATGTTTTTTGGCTGCAGTTCACTCCATTTAGTTTTAACATGCCTCGTCTTAATGCGCAGACAAAAGCAGCTGCTTATTCGCATTCAAGGCAATAGTGACTTCAGTGGGTCGAAAAATAAACATTACAAAGCTCAAGCCGGCATATGAGCAAATCTTCCTTATCCAGGCGCAACCCATATTTATTTGATTCTCCCCCCTCACCTATTTTGCCCTCTTTATCGGCACAGCAATTCCCTATATCCAGAATTTACCTATCCATATATGGCAGCCTTTTAGTTTCACTGTCATGGTGGATTTCAGGTTGCTCCAACCATAGCGGGAAGCCAGCAGACTGTACGTTGGCTACCCTACAAAGTTCACCCGGAGATCCACCTGCAAAGCTGTCACAACCCCAGGAACATCAAACGGTTTGCTGCAACAAAGGTAGGGGTAGCTTTCGAGTGATGTGTTTAACCAAGCCTTTTTCGCCGTCAGTAGAAAAGGGCAACGATGTGGCTGTTTTCCCCTGTTGTGCCCTGACAGACGTCGTAGATGGCTCCTGCTCGGAGCTCAATACTAAGCACGTAATATTAGACGCTACATTCGAGGAGAGCCCTCCATTCGCGACTGAACCTGCACGGGCGACGGGAGATTACTTGACAGATCAATTTAAAGAAGCGCCGTGCAGCGAGGATCAGTATCTGCCTCTGTTGTACGCAGTTTTACATCTCGCCTCCCTTCATCTCAAATGCACCTCTGCCAGGGACAACTTTCCCAGTGTATGCCAAATACGAGTTCCCATCAAAATCCTGTTTGATGGATGTGTATAAGGGCGAGTAGAAGCTTAGCGTCGAACCGTTCTGCTTGCTTGCCTGCAGGGTGAACCTGACTGGTCTGCCGTTGGCTGTCCACGTGGAGCCGCCAACACAGATCGTCACAGACTCAGGTCGCCCAACATTTCGCTCTCTTCAAGCTAATCACCTCGTCGTGGATGACTTTTTCGTTCGGCGCCGGAGAGCGCTGACACGTAGGTGTAGAATAGCACACACGCAAGCAGTACCTGGTGCAGTACATGAAAAAAGATGCTGTCATGAGAAGACTGTGCTTGAAAGCAGCACCTATGCAACAGGGCGAAGCACTTTTGACGGAGACAGCAGTCCTACAAGTGGTTGCACGACCCCGCGGTCGGGGGCTAAGGAGGTGGAGATGCCTGAAGATTGGACTTTTTTACGCCATGAGGAGATCTTCCGCGTGCCTTCAGATGACCATGTGTGCCCATAATCTGCGAACACCTCAAATAATAATCTAGATCTTACTCGTGCTGCCCTCTATTTGAAGCGCAGAGCAACAATACCTTGTTTGGCCCATGTGGATGCAGGGACAGGCATACAAGGTCGCCGTGCGCTTGCAAATCGTCGGAGTTGATTTCGAGATATGCGACCTACAACTTGACCGCAGCCAAGTCTCAGTAAAAGAGTTGCCCTTGGATATCCCATCCCCTGTACACGATACAAGGGGGAGGCATGCCTGTAGAAAAGTGCGATGTGAATCGCTCTACTCAGCTCGAATTCTTGTGAAGACGGTGTTTGTACCCAGCAGCAGGACATTTAACACGTATCTGTCCTCCGTGATCTCCATCCACAATAACTTGTCTGTGCCTGTCCTGGTGTGTTCGGTGAGGGTCTTTTTAAAAGAGTATTGATATAGTCATGAATTGAGCAGGCAAATTACGTACGACCTGGTATTGTTCCTCCTAGGCATACCATGAATTTTGAGTCAGAAATGTGTTTCAGGTTTTCCCGCACCCTGCTCTAGCTCTTTTGGACCAGTCCGATAAAGGCATTTTAGTGGAAAATATTAGATGCTCTGCCTACGAGGGTGAATCCCCGAAGGTCACCGCAGAGCGCTGTGCATGCCACGCTAATTATTCAAACCGGTCAGCTAGAGCCCGTATTGTGATAAATCACGGCTCCGCAGCAGCCCCAGAATGGTCGTGTGCGAACCATTTAGGAGGAAGCAATCAGGCTAGCTTCTTTAAGTAATTGCCAATCAAATGCCTGCTACGACCACGTGCGCAGGTATCCCACTAGACATTCTCAAAAGGAGGCATGTGATGTCCCAAACGTCTTGCCGTGCCCCCCTTTGGAGGTCGAGCCACACGGAGGAATAGGGCATATACCCTTGTCCTGGATCTTGCCAAAAGCAGTTGTGGCTCATAGGCTCCAGGTGTTGGGTATGAAAAAGGGAGGGGAACCCTTGCGTACAACCTGGAAAGAGCACGGGTTAGAGCCAGATCAGCCGCCTCCCAGTCCAACGGCAAACCGTTTAGGGCAAGCAGTGTTATCATTTCACAGCCATACAGTAATGACTGGCCTTTCTTCTCTTTGGAAAGGGCCACAACAGGATACTCAAAAAGAAAATGGCTCTACGGTAACGACTATGCCGTCAAAAATAGTTAAGAACTGTGGCAATTTTTCTGGAGCTAATAATTCAGGGATCGCCGTGTTAGTGGAGGGCCGGCCTCCAACAGCTTCCGACTTAAGTTACCTGAACGAATGGCTTGATGACACGTCAATCGAGCCCTTATATTTTATACCGTCTAGTTGCATTTCCACGCAAAACGAGGTGGAAGTATACAACACTCATGGGCATTGTAACAGTAGGCGCAGCCATAAAATGAGCAAGTTGGCGCGATATATAGCACCCCAAGTGAGCAACATCGGTCGTGCACCCTCATCAGATACGCCGGATGAAAACAAACAAGATATGCCCCAAGAATGTCCGACGTTTCGGGTTTCTGAAAATTCCTCTACAGACGAGGAAACACAGGTTCGTGCACTTCTTCTCTGGTGTCCGCAGCTGCACCTGCCTGCTGCTTCACATATAATAGCGTAAGCACCCGCACAATCACCGCAAACATTGCTACAATAATAGAAGCTGAGAGCCTGATGAAGAGTAAAGTGAGGATCCGATAAAATGCATTGGAACCCTTCGCTTTTAGATGCACGTAGGCACAGATGGTGCGCAGTACTCCTTGGTGTGGTCTGTATGGCTATTAACTACCTGATAACGCAACCCGTTCTAGTCAGCCTAATTTCGCTACGTTCCTTACCTAAAAACGCTCGCTATGCGGCTGAAGTTTGTGAGTGACATTGTACACACGCAATCAAAGACATAGCAACATCTGTTTGCTCTAATCAATGCGCGTGTCTAGTGCGGTGCCGCAACCATCAGGCACGGCCGTGAATATTTGCGTCTGGCGTGTTCAGCTCTTTCAGGCTTACCAAACCATTTATGCTTTAGCGCAGTCTCTTGGGTCCAAGCCACTTTTACAGAAAGCAACCTTACAACAAGTTGCACTCGGACGTAGCCATAGCGTCCTCTCATATGAATGCCAGCCTCAGATTGTGGAGTTTCTACTTGGAGAAGGAGGCGCTGGTGCGGATGGCAAGGCTGCTACTCGAAGGCTGCCAAAAGCCATAAATCATCTTGATCAAGACGCTAGTAGTATAAGCAGCAGCGGCGGGTCCAGCTTCTATGCTGCCTTTGCCGTGACAGTTTACGGTCAATCGCGAGACTTGCTGTCTGAAGCAGACCCGTTGTTCTTTGAAGTATGTCTGAGCGCACCAATCAACGTAAGTGCTACGATCATAGCCAACAATGCCTGTAGCTGAGTCTATGAAAGCTTTGCGCCCGAACCATGATTTTCTGTAGTTGAATGTATGTCACTCTCAGGTGGGAAACCGCCTATTTGAGCCACTTGGGCTTTTTCTTGTTTCCAGCACATCGTCACCGCTTCCACAGCAGAAAGAATCATCACCACAGACACTAGCATCACATTCCCAAAGGAATGCCATTCCCCATGCACTCATTAATGCAGGACAAGACATCGATATCCTAAAAGTGACTTCCGGGTTTGTGTTCGAGTTTGTTACTACTGCCGGAGGAAAGAAACACCAGCATTTATACAGATCTGAGCCTTTGGTTATAGACTACCATGTGCCTGCCCCCACTAATGCTATAAATCGTGTTATAACTTTTAAGCGAACAAGTATAATTGATGAAGTGGGAAACACAATACAGCAGCACTCTGCGGAGTACCGTCGCCTTTCCATGTATCAGCCAAATGAGCTATGTGTGTACGCGGAGATAGCTGGATGGTGTAAGAAAAATCTGGACTCTACCAGCATTACTGACTTTGATCAAAACGGTTTCCTTGGCAGCGCTTCTAAACTGACAAACATAAAAACACATATGTGGGGTACATGTGTCAGGGCCATCCGCATTTTCGCTCCTTACTGGCTTGTCAATCGGCAACCGGAGCCGCTTGTTGTCTCTTACTGCGACTACCCAATGCAGTACTTAGCCTCCTGCGACTGGAGGCTTTTGGGAGTGCCGTTACATGGGCATACTTCAGTAGCTCTTGGCGTTGCACCCAGTGGAGAATTCAGGCAGTGTTGCGGTCCACGCAAAGATGAAAGAGATTCTGTTCACCTGGGAGACATGGGGGCTTCTGGTTCACGTGACCACTCTTCTCTAAGGTTATGCTCAGCTTTCCGTATTGATATTGTTGGCCGCACCACGGCTGTTTCAGTTCCAGTACAAAGCCCAGCCAGCCTTGGTGCCAATGGAATCAACAGAACCTACTATCATTTTGGCGTCACAGTAGCTCTCGCCCCACCGCCTTTCTCACGTTCCAAAATCGTCAGTATATACACCCGCTTTGTATTAAAGAACATTCTTCCCTATGACCTTTGGGTCAAGGAGTGTAGTGGTAATTCACCCCCTCTCTCGCTGGCTGCAGGGAGTCAGTGTGCGTTCCATCCGCAGACGGTGGTACCCGGAGAAGCACTCATTTACATCGCCACGGTTGACCCCGCAATCGTCGACTCTCTTTCTAAAAGCACTGAGAACAGAAGAGGCGTGACTAGAAAACCAGGGGCATTGTGTCTTGATGGAGGAAGAAAGGGCCAGTCTATACAACAAAGTATATGGTCATCACAGGTTTCAATATCCCGCAGAGCTTCGTTTCAAATCCGCCTTAACACCCTCATAATGCCTACGAGGAAATCTCATGCCAGATTTGGCTTTAGAATGGGTGCAACCACCATCTGCAAGGATGTACGAGCACTTTTCCAGGCCCATAAAAACATCCAAATATCCATTCGTTCTCTAGATGGAGCTTCGTTTGTAGTATTATTCAGTCTGCCTGTGAAGTCCGAATACCTTCTTCTCAACAATACTGATTACTTAATCGCTTTTGCTCAAGGTGGACTTCGACATAAGCGCGTCTGGGAGCTTCTAGGAAGAAGGAAGCAAATGGAGTATGCTTGGAGCGATCCCCAAAGGGAGCGAAAATACCTTCGATTTTCTGTTTTGGACTGTAACCAACAAGTTACAAAAAGCTACAACATAGCACGCATTCGTGTACACCGTCCCCTTATTTTGCCGATTTCCAAAGAAAAAATATACTTTGCTACGGACGTGTGCGGCACCAGCAGACGAGTTATCGCTACGATGGATGCGCCTCCGAGGCAGAGGCAAACCACTTCTACCACAGATTCCAGGAGACGTGCCGTTCGTGACTTCCTGGTAAGTCACAATTTATGGCAGAGTAATGGAAGCTCACGAGCTAAACGAAATGGACGAGAGTTTTCAAGAGCGGAACTGTCTTTCCACGCAACCACGAAAAGGAAGAAAATTGAGCATATGGAAGCAACGCAATTAGCAGGGACATCCCATTTGATAGGCCTTTACCCGGAAGGGCTAATACCACAGCCCAGATTGCTTCAGAGAGAGACAAAAGAAGCTCCACGCAGCAGCTGCTGGAGTGGCAGATTCGCTCCTAGTAGAGAAGAACCTTTGCGTTGTATGCGGGCTGACTGCTTATGCACTCCTGAACAAGCAGAGCCAGAAAAGGTTTTTTACTTGAGTAAAGCATCTGACAACCAGGAGGGCAACTACGCAGCTAGACAAAGCCGTATGGCAACGCTCATTGGAACTCGTCAAAAATCGTTCCGCAAACATGTCAAATCGAGATCACGCAGATCAAGCACAGCCACTGCATGGAACAGTTTCCGCAGGAATAAGGGGCTGTCACCCAGATTACCAGGCGCACAATCCCCCCAAGAATCGAATCAGGCTGTCAAGTTTACCGGAAAGAGATTTCTTTTAGGTATGGGAATGCATATCCGCATTTCTATCCAAGGATTCGGCCTATCCCTCGTGGACTCCACTCCCCAAGAACTTGTGTTTGTTGGCTGTTCGGGTATCCGTGCAGAGGTCCTGCGTTTACGTGCATCACAAATTCAGGAATTTCGCTTTTCTATAAGGGCTTTCCAAGTAGACAACGGAGTAGCAGAGGCTGAGCATCAAACTATTTTGAGGCAGATAACACCTGAGGAGTGCCTTGATCATTATGGATCCGGCAAGGCGGGATTATTCGAACGGGGACCATTGAGCGCCGGGTCATGCGAGGGAGTACTACGAGCCAATGCAAAACCAAAACAGGACTGGGGTGCATTTGAGGGGTGCAAGGGGGGGGAGCGCTTTCCCTTCCTGAGATTCCAGTTTGGCGGTAGCCTGAGGAATGGGGTGGCGATTCTCGAATACGTTGATGCTGAACTCGCACCCATTGCGTTGCACGTCGAGGCAGATACAGCGTACGTTCTAGTCCGCTTCTTTATGCGGCTTCTGCAGAATCGCTCAATATTCTTTAGGTCGCTGCGCCATCGAAACGTGCAGCTCGTTCGAGAGGCAGCTGCCAATCGGCCAGATACTGCCGGATATGAGCGATTGCGGGCATTCCCAGAAGCAACCATCCCATTGGCAGCAACCTTAAGACCGCTATATATTCATACATTATCTATCCGGCCAATGCTGCTAATTTTATCGGCAAGATCACAACGCTTGCGCAAAAGAGATACTGGGACGGTTCATAACGGGCTGATGACGTTCCGCCAATTTGAGTTTCTAGGATATCCAATGACCGACATTACTAATTTTCCGCTAAAATCTCGCCTTTTTGTACAGCAGTGTGTTTTCACCACTGCTGAGCAGCTTGTAGATGATTTGTGTTCTTCGTACGTTCAACAATGTATTCGGCAGCTCCACAAACTTTTGGCCTCTATAGATGTCATTGGAAACCCGCTTCGTCTTATTACTGGACTATCATCTAGTTTACGTGCTGTCACCGGCAATCAATTGAGAAGTACGGACACTTGTTGACCAAAAACACCGCTGACCACCGCCGCACTGCATTTACTCTAATTAGCAGTCAACAGTGAATCCTCATCATGAGCACAATTATGATTGTTAAAGCTATTGAGGTAAATGCTCGCAGCAACTGCGAATGGAGCAATTCCTATACGGCTTCGCCATGAACGTTGTACTTACCATGTACAGTCGTGGTGCTTCTTGAGCAATAATGTGTACTCAGGTCCTTCCTTATCCGATACATCACGCTCATCATTTCTCAAATGCCTGTACAGGTTGACGGTGAACTTTGCCAGCGCAGTATTTGCTTCCATCAGCAGCATAGGCGCAGGACTTCTCAGACTGTTTGAACTCTTCAGGCTTACAGATATACGCGGTATTTTATCCTTGTGGCCAGAGCCCATACGGATACAGCCAAGCAGAATAGAACGTCCAGAAACGCTCTGCGAAGGCCTCTACACAGGAATCCTAGGAGCTGTACAGATCGTTGGAGGGTCTGTAGTGGCCGTCGGATCCATACCTTTGAGACGCAAAAGGGCCTCTGGGTGCACAGGGTTCTGCATAGGTGTCCTTCAGGGAATAGCATACCTTGTTGCGGGACCAGCCGTTGGGCTAGTGCTGTTTTGTGTCGCAGTAGCTGCAGGTGCCAGCAGTACCCTTCGGCGCAAATCGATGATAAAAAAGACGCGCCCCCTTCGTGTTTTCCAGCCGCATTTGGCAGTATTGCCCTATGCCTTGCACACAGCACGCGCGATGAATCTGTTGGAGGCGTCTACCAAAAGGGTTCTTGCTCGAGCAGTGCTACAACCGGCTGTCGTGGCTTTCCCGATCTCTCCCGTTTGCTTATCTACTGACCTGAAGCATTACTTTGTCACAGACGATAGGCGAAATCATAGCGCGGATTACTTGCTTGTAACTAACGATTTGATGATCTGCCTTCGTGCCGGATCTGCGCAGTGGGTGTGCAGACGAGAGGACATTGAGCGCTGCGTTGTGGTGTTGCCAGCATTCTTAGAAAGCGCCTTTCGTGCTCAGCAAGCAATGCTCTTACGGCAGAGGCATTGGAGGTCAACGGGTCGCGCTCACGCTGAATCATCCAATCTGCTGAGAGAGAAAGAACAACCAGCATACGACCAGTGTGGTATATATACGGTGCATATAACCGTAGCAAACAAGCTGCACCTTGAAGAAAAGGTGCTGCGTGATTTTTCGGCGTCTTACAAAGCGTATGTCAGCCACGCTACGGAAAAACGCAATGCTGTTCAAGCCCTAAAGAAAAACTTGAAGCTCCCCAGCGGCACTGCCCAGCACAGCGTCATTATCCAGTTACCTGATGCCTCAACGAACAACAGTCCGTACACAAGATTGCCCATGCACAGTGGCGACATCACACTACCCGGCCAAGAAGTGCGAATGTTTGTCGCCTCAAACGTTCCAGGGGGTAGAACTACAAAAGCAGGCAGATGTGAAGCGGAAAACACCTTACCTCAGAGTGATGCGAGCAGCATAATTACAGCAAATCCAGATATACAGCCTAACTGCATTTTTCCTTTTATGAGACTGCTTGTAAACTGGTTTGCATGTTGCTATCGGTGGAGCTATGGGAGCGTCATGCGGCTCCGGCACAAACGATCTGATTTGGGTTCGCCTACCAAGTTGAACCGCTTGCGCCATCTTGAAGGAGTCAGCCGTTCTTGCGAACCAGAGGCCATCACATTCACCATTACTTTCCCAGATATATACAAGGCTCTACAGGTGTTCGATATAATTTGTAGTATCAAGAAGAGCATTCAAATTGCGCATGAAGATGAGAGCGCTACTGATGTGCTGCAATACTCTTTTATTACTCCTTGAAATTGTAGGAGCTTTGCGCTTTTCCTGGAATTCACGACTGTGTGCTAATAGACTAGATGGATTGTGTATAGCGACTCATGTCGGAAAGCTGCACTGCAGCTGCATTGATGCGCGAATTCCCGGAATATTGTGCCTGCAAACGAATTGACATGTTATCATTTTTTCATGTCAGTCGTTTGCTTTGCTAGTAGGCCGAAAAATGCTTGATTGCAACCGCCGGTCTACCCTGAAAAAAGATAATTTTCGTCCCTTTACCCCAATGTGCAACACCTCTACATTTCCCTCCCTGCGTAAATGAAGATGAGATTCTTTTGAAATGCTTCCTCAGCCGCACTCTATTTGTAGACCTGAGATGCCTCCTAGCATTTTCAACAGCATAACCTTTTCCGCTCTCAGAGAATATACAGTTTTCGCTTGGAAACGTTTGCAAAGAAGCAAATTTAGATTGCAAGCATTGTGCAGTAGTTCCAAGCAATGCGTGTATAATCAAGAGGGACGAGCTGAAGAAATCAAAGTTTGCTTGTCACTTGTATTCCAATCCCTTTTGGGATTTTCAGGAAGATTCCGCCCGTTCTTCCTTTAGCCGTTTTCCAGAGGTATTGGGAGCTTGAAAGAATGTCGAAATTAGGAAAACTGGAAGGAATTTTGGGTAATTCAGTGTGCTCTCGTACATATACTTAGCTTCGCTTTACGAAGAAAGCGCAGAGGAACCACATGTCAGTGCAACATGAAATTCCCATTATCAGCTACGGCATCCCCGCCACAACGGTTTCGAGATTTTAACTTATATTGGCGATCCACGTACCGACATGACATAATCAGTGAACAGTGTGTGGAGCAATTAATTTGCATTATTCCTGCTCTTTTGTTTCGGTTGACACGCAAGTGTAAAGCTCCTTCTAATGCCTGCGTCAGGAAACACTTGATTCAAGACTCAGAACAAACTACGTAGAGAGTTTTTGATTGATTTCCCATTTAAAAATCCCTTAACCCACTCCCAGCAATTCTCAGGCTTTCAGCACAGGTGGAGAAGGACAGCTACGGTGTTCGTTGCCCAACCTTCTATGAATTCCAAGCATTTACAGCTAGTTGCTCATAGCAACTATCGCTCGCGCAGACAACATCGTGTCTTATTGTGTTGCTTTATCAGTATTCTGCACGCCAATCAGTCAAATGCTTCAAATCATTAGCTAATATTATCCAGTGTAGTGGAAGTGTTTATATGCAGCTCAACACTTGAGAAAGAGTGCGCATGTAATTTGCGTGATAGAAGCCTCGGCCTATTGTGCGTATTTTAAAAGTTTTGGGTGCCTTTAATCTCAGAGGGAAGTGAATGTCCGGCGTCCCAGGACAAAAGTTTGAGGACATCATGCACTAGGGGATCTGGATATACAATGTGCTTCCTGTGGTCTGCTGTGTGGGGGGGCATACGCATACGCCAACTGTAGAGCCTTTGACTGAAAAGCTAGTCTTAAACGCACTCTAATTGCCGAAAATGGGATTGAAATGATATCCTCTAGATGGGCAGAACGCGAGGTCTTCACTGTACGCAGTCAGCGCATATCTGCATCCACTTTGAGCCTGTGGCCATTCACCACACCCACCTTCAGTGTCTGCTCATTGTTTATTCCAAGGCTTTATAATCTTGCAGAACGCTCGCTCACAGTGGGAAGAGGGTGCTATCGGGCAAGAGGTCCACGAGATTCTCAGGGTTTTGCCCTAAGAATGGCATGTGGCCTGCATAGTCAAGAACCCCGCCCAAAAGTGTTATTTATTTCCACGCCAACACATTATTGAGCTAAAATGGCTGGTCAGTAAATAGCGTTTACAATAACCAGCATGATAACCGAGGAATACAAGCAAATGGGGCAAGTTCTTTATACCAAGATCAGCACTTTAGGAGCTAGACTGGCGACCATGCAAGTCTATAAACAAAGCTCCCCTTGTTTTGGTGGGCGCAGAAGCACAGATGGATAAAGCAATAAGCGCATACCGTGCTACTGTACACTTCAAAGACAACCAGTGCCTACTGCGATTTAAATTTTTCCCACTAAGACTGGCTCTGTATAATGCGGCTTCCCTAGGGGGCATCCTTGAGTACTAGTGCCACTGTATGGGGTGATTGCAAGCAACTTACAATGTACAGACTTCTAAGGCTTTACAGCACACAAAGTCTCATTATCTTGTGTTAGCAATCATATGAGCGTCCTCTCGACACTCCAACGGTCGACTACCCAAAGTTCCTTGCTGGGGGCGAGACTGTTACCACCTGAGCAAGCGTACACGATGTTCGGTGGCTATTTGACCTTTGGCAAAATCACCAGTGCATTGATATTAGACTGCTCCTAACGGATGTCACTATCTAAGAGCACGGAAGCGGAGTAGAATGACCTTATATCATCTAAAGTTTTGACGAGGCGCATTGCGCCATCAAAAGGGTCGACGACGACTGCATGCCAGAAAAGTCATTTAGAGGAATGGGGGAAAAACGTATATCAATTAACCCCAACGAGCTGCTGAGAGAGAGCTCTGCAAGCTTGCTGTGCTTTGGATGTTGTTATAGGCCTGCTCTCTCTCCAACTCAACGATAAATAGAGGAATAGACTTTGTGGGAGGAACGGATCCCAGAGAACAATCGCTTCACCTCAGTGCCACAAGGGACCTGACAGCTTGTCGACAATACCGGCTAGCGTATGAGTGGAAGAGAGAAACGAAAGCATCAAACGCCAAGAATGAGCCACGCTCTGTCACAGTGAAGCTCTAGGCAAAAGGTTTTTTTAAGAGTTGAGCCGAGGAGCCTGCAGTGCTCTCAGAGATTTAGCCTACATGTCGGTATAAGAAGCATGCAACCTAAATAGATAATTAATAGCGGTCCACGGAGTACGGAAGTCTCTCTCAGTGTTATTGTACACGAAGGGCAATTGTAATGCAAAGTCTTTTGGTAAACAATGTAGGTTAAGAGAGTCATATCATAAGACAGTTAAGCCGCATCTTCATCGGAGAATAGTCCCGGTTGAGCACTGTGAAATATCAGCTAAAAACGAAAACCTTACAGCATTTCTGAGAATAACCGGCAATATTTACACATCTCTCGTAGTCGTGCTACAAGGCTATGCGCAGCAAGAGTAAGGTTGCACGAAGCTGGGACTTTCAGGAAATACATACAACGAGAGACTCTAGGGTTGGAATATAAGTGCTATGCCATTGCACGTAGATTTGGACATTCAAATGGGTTTCTCACTACCAGAAAAAATCTGGAGGCTCATACCAGAGACAAGTTAGATGCACAACGTTGCATAATCCAGGATATTGCCGCGATAATACCCGCGCTTTGCAAGAGTGTGTACAATAAAGGCATTGTCAAGTTAAGGCACAAGACTAAGGCAAGGTGTAAGGTCACCAGACAGCGGATTACGAGAAGAAGGACAAGCTAAAGGGAGTATGTGGGGATTTGGGCACATTCCCAGCAGCCTAGACCCTAAGCTGTGTCCATAAACATGAATTTTTTGAAAGAATCCTTCAGATGCTCTGGGCGCTGGAAGCCCATCGTTTCTCTTTATGCAACATTGCCGATTACCCTCTTTTTCACAACCCCATAGTGGGTAAAACTAGTATCTGGCAAGTTGCTCACGCATTCAATCTTCTGCTTGCCTAATTCTTTGAAAGAACGGCGAAGTAACAAGCCAAAAAGTGCCTCACAACAGTCCTTGGAAGCACGTGAAAAAGTAAAAGCAGAAATGTTTTGAGGTTCAGACAGCCATAGTCAGTTTGCTGCCTTGCACAAGCGTAGGGAATGCAGGAAGTCTTCATCCACAGGTCCCAAGGCATGAAATTCCGCGAGCATAGCTTTTTGCAATGCCCTATGTATGTAGTTTATGTCTGTGTACTCTCTTAGCCTAATTTCACGCATAAAAATTGTGATATCATAATCAGTAGATTTGTAACATCCAACGCAATCAACTTCAGCAAACAAACCGTACAGAGCAGCAACAAGGAAAACAGGAGCCGCGCTTGCAGCGTAGCGGCAGCGGAGTGCTGGAATCCCTAAAGCTCTCCCGCCGCTCAACTTTTTCCTGGGTCGTCCGCAACAGCAGCAGCGGCGCTGACGGTAGCAATGTCACGGAAAACGCCTGAAAATGCCTCAGCTCGTTGATTTATAGCTAAATTGAAGGATCAGAGCAGTCGGCCTTTGTAAAAATTATACTGGTACAAACCGCGCTCCCGAAGCCTAGACATAGGTGCGTGTTGTAGCTTTAAAATGAGGTGGACTACAGAGCAGGTAATTGCACAGCTGGCAATTACTGTCATTAGCTACTACCAGCAGGAGCTGCAAAACCGCAGATAGGTCAATCCATGAGTAGCGCACGTAGAGTTTGTGATTTAGAGTGCGAGGTCTTCTTACGCACCCCAGCACCCAGTACAGAATGCCACTCCTCCACTTAAGACAATGTAAATTAAAATAACAGGGTCTATGAAAATGGTATTTACGCCTTCCCAGTGCCTGGACACGGCATGAAGGTTGAGCTACATTCTACAACACTTAGAAAGCAAAACATCTGAAAGTACGTTTTGCTAAACAGACCAAAATGACGCATGTGTGCCACACGCTGCAGGCATTTTTATAATTCTCTCATTCCATGCTCATGAAAGGTCACACCTGTGCCAGCTTTCTGGCCTACGGGGCGCATATGGCTTTATAACGGGGATGAAACTGCTTAAAGGTTTCAACCCGAATGCCCTCTGCACTCACCGTGCAACGCAAAAGTATTGTGTTTCACATTTTTCGAGCCTCAACACCGATACACAAGACTTCAGGCACCTACTATAGAAATGACCCCCATATGCCCCTAAGAAAGGCATGTCAGTGACCTGTTCTTACGCACCCTTACGTGCATCATGCCGAATATAACGTCTTCAGTTACCATTCGTAGTGTGGGTGAATTTCCACCATCCTGCTTTGATACGGAGGGGCCTTGATTGTGCTGCACAATCGTCACATAGTCGTTCCGACACCTCCCGCAAAGAGGACAGATACCTCCGCTCCTTACGGGAATGTGCGAAGCACCCACAGTTGCATTTGACTAATACTAAGAAATGGCTTCCATGCATTATTGTGGCTCTTTTCTTTACAATTTGTTGAAATTTTCAGAATGTGTCCCGAGAGAAGTGCATTAATGCATCTTCATCGTACAGGTTGATGGGGTCCAACTCCTTTCCTCATTCGTGTGAAGTGAAGTAGACGTTGTTCCTATTTTTCTGGTTGAGTGAAGGCTGCTCACTGGCTAATGGTGAATTTTGCACAACAGTGGCCTTCGGATGATGCCCTTCGCTACGAAGCCCTGCGGGGCACCACACTAGCGGTGGATTCTACCGCAGACGTGTGCCAAGCAGACCCTCGTGAATCCACGGGATTAATATGGTTCTTCGGCCTTTGGATGTGCGGTTGTACCTCTCCAACAGGCATGGAGCAAGGCAAAGGCAGAAAACCAAAAGAAGCTTGATCAAGCATTTCGTGCGGCATTGTCCTGAGCCTATCGTAATCAGAGAGGCCAGGTAAGCCAAATGGCAGCGCTTGTCCACCAGTCATGTTCTGCTCACACTGGAGTATGCCACAGGAAGGGCACATGCAACATGCAAGGTCTTCCGTCCTTTGTTGCTGCCGTGCTTTTTCAACTGCATTGGGCTCGTTGACCAGCTGCTTAATATTCACAACTCGAGGCACCCCCTTGGGTCTGCCTGAGTGTGCGTGAGCATGCCGCAGCAGCATCATGGAATGGTGCTGCACAAACAGTGCCGTTGTAGCACTATTCCCCCTCGGAGGTAGCAACTGTCCCTGCTTCCCTAGAAGGCGAGAGTCTCCAAAAGAAATCCCCAGGGCCGTCTGCGTGCATTTACACACGCCTATAGCAGTTTTTCTAGAATAAGAATCACTGTGCAAACTGATAAGAACGTTGGATCCAGGGCACAGTGGGATGTAGCCTGGTCATGCTTACAGCGAAGAATTCATCCAGAGTGACTTGTACTCTCCTGAGCAGCATGTCACCCACACTTTCTGAGCCTCGCCCACACACTCTAAGCCCTGTGGCGTATGAATTGTATGCCCTAATTTGCCCTTTAGATAATCCGGGCACAGGCATTCAGGGAATTAGAGGACGTCTGATGGTGATATGTAAAAGCTGTAAGTGGTCCCCGTGGCGGTAAGGGCCAGATTACCAGCCAAGAACTTGTAGGAACGCTGCCTCTGCCTCCACCAGTTCCTCAACGGAAATTCCGCCTAGCTATCATAAAACAGAACCAAGTGCCAACTTACTGGCATCAAAATGCAGCTTGCAACCACAATTGCAGCAGTGCACGGTTACCTTTTTTAAGTACGTGAGGAAAGCGACAGTACTTCGGTGGCTACAAGGTTTTCAATATTTGTGGAGTTAACGCTTTCACAATGGGGTTCAACTAGCAAATCTGTCTTGAACCGTTTGGCGTTTAGCTGTTGACCTAAATGTAAGTATGACTGTTGCGGTCGTGCTAGTCAGTTGCTGCTTGCACCCATTCTGTTATTCTCATCAGAGGATGCTCTAGCTGCTAGCGGCGGAATCCATATTGTCACGTAGCACTACATGAAAGATCTTCGAGCCTTTTATAGTATTTCCTTTTGCTGATTATCATGCAATGCCAAAGTATTAGACCGTGCACGTCTTGTCCTCGTATGCAAGTGTTTCATTTCCTTCTGTGCAACGTGATTTGTGCCATATTCTAATTGTTAGTACCTGTGCCCATTGCCTGATGCTTGTATGCTCATCCCCATGACATTTTTTTGCAAGAAGCGCCGACGTTAGCAGAAGCCTGTGTGCCGTCAAGTAGTTGAACTCTACAAATCCTATTTGGGCTGCTGTCACCGCCAAACAGACTCGGGTTACAGGAGCAGCTGTCCTTGCATCCAACTTTGAGTGTAGTATTTTACAGCTGCGCTCCGCATCTTGTGACTTTGTGCTGTGTTCATCGTGATGATTTTGTTGCTGATGGTAGGGTGTTTGGCTTCCTGGGAGAGCACTTGCAAGCAAGGTGTTCTGCACGCAGAGAAAGCGGGTAAGAAGAGTAAGGGCCACCACAGCGTCGTTGATGCACTGGTTTCCATGCCGAAAAATCCGCTTAACCAAGTAATCCTTAAGGCCTATGTGTGGCCTTGAAGAGCAGTGGAAGGGAGATGCAGTCAGATCGTGAAGTTGCTGCAGCCGATCATTTCCTCCAAAGTGGCTGATGGTGCAGCATGTTTCTAGGAGGGATACGAGTGACCCAACGCAAACAAATGATAACTCTGTGTGTCTCAAAAGGATGAACTCCGGCAGTTCGTCTTGCTCTTCCTTCGTCACCCACGAGGGAGGGCTATGACGACAAGGGCGAGCAGTTAAAGAGCCAGTAGAGGAGGGGGAAACTCTGAAAGAAAATCCAGACTCTCGCGAAAACCTTGTGACTGACGGCCCTTGAAACCACTTTTTAGCCTCCCAGTGAAACTTAGAATGCCTGTTGCGAGCATGTGTATGTCCAAGGTTTGGAATCGAATTGAGGGTCAGAGGTGGCGTTGCAGCTGCGGTAGTTGCTGCTGTCTCACGTTCTGAGGCTCCCCCAATATCGACACATTCATTAAACGACGATTGGGACTCAGTGCTTAAAGTGTGATGCCGGGAACAGGTTGTCCTAGTACTGTACGAGCACGAAGAAACTCCCATATTAGCTTTTCCATGGCTTTGTAATGCGCGTGATGGCATAAAGCCTTGAATATCAGCAGACGTTGATGACTGTATTGGTACCTGCATTCCACCATATGTAGTCATTGCAAAATCGTTGAACCGCGCATCACTTTTAGCACCCCACTATACAATCACTCCCCTAGTCTGTCAGAATTTACCTGGAAATATTGTACAGCGCCTTCACCAGATGCACTAGATGCGCACTCTGGTTTGGGGGGTATATTATCTGTGCCCCTGGGGGATTGGATGAGAGCTGCGCTAAAACCCCCTGGAGAATTGACGCTGCAGCAATCGCAGACAAAATATTTGACTGCAGAGACCGCAGCTGGCGTGTAAGCTTCTCTGACAGCTAATTGGACCTTTGGGCGATGCAGGCGAGGAGCGTCACTCCGTGAGATCAGATTTGCAGCTGCCCGAGATGTGCTTGTTTTGGATGCACCTTGGCCATATATATCTGTCTTTTGTACTCGAGAGACACCTGTGGGGCAATGACGGGTATGTCTGGCGCTGCACTCTTTCAGGGAACCGCTATCCGCAAAGAGGTGGCAGTCCGGGCACCTCATCCGCAGTGGCAGTGCCGACAACCAAATTGGTTGAGGTTCTGGTACTGTCAATGATGGTGGTTGATTTAGTTGACTCTCTGGATAGATCACAGCTCTTCTGGACTTGGATGCCTGCTTCAAACTAGCTTTGCTTTTGTAGCAAGTGCTGTCTACTTCCTGCGCAGTTTTGGTGAGCCGTATTGGGTTTTTTGGGACATCATATGCATTGATTGTCAACGCATGTGCTCTCGGCATTGCCACGTTTCCAGTTATGAAGGTTGAAATGCACCTTTCAGCAGGTACCACGTTGCTACAGGCAGCAACATTCATGTATTCATTGTGTCGGTGGACTCTGAAGAATCGAAATAACGTGCCTTGCAGTTCTGCCACCGGAGTTGGTGTTTTAGTACCTGCGTTTGAGACACTACTGCCCTGAAGTCTGTGGAGTGGAGACCAAAAACGATTTGGTTCTGTTTCGGGGAGGGGAAACCTAGTTGCTTGCAAAGTTGGTTTCAGTTGGCTTATGGGGAATGGAGAACGCAATAGTGATAGCGGTATCCTGGGGCCAGAAGAACAGAGAAGACGAACAACAGGATTGCTGCCTTTGTCAACGCCTGACTGTACAGTGCATCCGTGACTATCTATTGTTACAAGCTGCGGTTTAATCATTATAGTTAGTCTTCGTCCTGATAATCCAACTGTTGAAGCCTTTGCATACGGTGCCACACCATAAGATCTTGTTCTAGATGGCTAATCATGCGTAGTCGTGTTGGAACAGGAACCCGCTTTCCGCACAGAAAAATACAGTTTCCTTAGGTCATCTGTTCAGAACTGCACTCAGCTGCTTTAGGTAGATAAGTCTTTCAAATTCCCACGAAGCACAGAATATCTGCTAATGTTTCAGTCCCTTAGGTACTGTGTATGCCAAATATCTAACTTCCACTTGCCCGCGCTGGCACGCTTTAATAAGGCGGTGCGTGCAGGCCTGTTTGCAACCAGTGTTAGGCCATTGCATCCTAGTGGGTGCAATTAGGGCCCATGCTCAGGTCACGGGCACACTTGTCGGTTATGCTGATCCACTAAGTTTTCCATACCACTAATACGAGAAGTTTCTATTCTTCAGTAGGCCTGATTTTCGAATGTCTTCGAAGAAAGGCTTCCAGAATACGGTTCCTACATAGCCAGGTTTCATACGTGTGTAAATGGGTGCATCTAGCAGCGCAAGTCGCGGTCAGCTGCGTGACCACCGGTCGTGTAATTCCAGATACAGCATCTCACAAATGATTATAGGCTGCATAGAATTTGCAAACGATTTTATTCTGGGCCACCCTATCAGCCCCTCAAAACGGGGTCATACAGGCTCTCCTGCGGGCGAATTACGGGCTGCCCACTAGATGCACACAGGCGTCAGTGATCCTCGAGGTGAATAAGAATGGGCATAACTTCGTGAATATACATTTTCTGGAAGCCTACTCTTTCAGGCAGTGATCAAGCTTTGTTACTGCTTTTTGAATATATGCACGCTCGAGTACACGGCTGAGCCAAAATTGGGCAGGAACGGTAGCACTCGTAGTTATTTTCCGAAAAAATAACCACCTTCATACCCTATACAAGCTCAGCCAAAAGTTATTCGGTGTTCTTCCAATAAAGCTTTCCTTCATCCATGCGTGCACTCTTCAGGGCTCCGGCCTGAGGGGAAAGGGAGTGCACAAATGGTGCACCAGCGTGCACCATTTGTGTACTCCTGCAACAGGCTAAGCAGCGGCAAGGTACCTTTTAGCAAACTAGCTATATTCGACCTAGAATAAGTAAAGATTCGAATTATTGCCCCGTCTTCTCGTATCTTATGTTTATTGCAGCGCACGGTGAGCTTCATAATACAACCGTAGAGAGCTAAGCTACACTTGATCACTTTCCTGTTCACTATTTGTTTAATTAGAAATTAAAGAAATAATTGACTAGTTGTTCTATGTGCTGGTATTCTTTATTAGTTGCACTTTACCGTTGGCCCCACACAAGAAGACCCACCTAAGCGTGCGTGCGCGCTAGATGCTAGGTGCAACTAGTCATGAATTCTTCGAGTACTTAGAGGGTGAAGCTGTGCGGAATCCTTGCTGCTCGTGATCCCTGATATCATAGTGGCCGCCAGAGGTGTGGGTAGCAAAAGGAGTGAATTTTATAAAACAATGGCACTCATAATCTTCCTATTATGTTTTTTGAATCTGGAGTTGTATATCTCCCTCTGGAAATACATAAAGCGTTACGCCAAAGGGAGCAATTTTAGTAGCACAATTAGTAGCTTCACGTCAAGTATTCAATGGGCCTGGAGTTAAGTTTCTCCCTATGTATATTGGCAGCACTGCGTAATCGACGCAGCAGCTCCCTGCTCATCCACTTGCCGTGGATGCAGACATTGGGATGCAAGGCTTCCTAAAACAGTAAGTTGGTTTTGATCAAGTGATTGAATAAACTATTCACCTGTTTATATGGCAATTGGGTGGAAAAAGAAGACCCTTTTGGTGATGGACGTGAAGGTGGCGCAGCGCTTGTTCAAGTGGTAGATGCCAGCTTCCAAGCTTATGAGAACACACTAGCTCCACCGCTGTGAGTTCCTGGACACTCAGCTAAATGTTATCAATGCTACCATGAGGCTATGCTGACAGGAAAAGTGCGACGGCCGTAAGAATGTGCGCGTCTTCGAATATTCCATCAGCCAGTAGGCTCACATCACTTTGTACCCTGTACATGATGAGAAACTAGTGCTCCCGAGAGACTGTCTACTGAAGGTCAGTGCATCATTTTAGTGGCTCTATTAATGCAGGGGAATTGTCTGCTTTAAAGATTCACCACAGCTCAAGCCTCCAAGCACACCCTAACTCATCGGTTTGTGAAGTGATGAGCTCAATGTCAGCCTTTATGAGAGTTTAGAAAGCTGGAGCAAGAAAATCAAAAACTTGATTGGTTTATTGCGAAGTATGATAGTTTGGCTCGCAAACGCCACGATGTAGCTGAACATTTGCTGTACCAGGGCTCAACTTATGTATAGCCGAAGTGTCACATCATGTGGTCGCAACGACTCATCGTTTAAACAATCGAACGGCTGGGCTTTCGCAGCTGATGAAATGTGAGAGATTTAGGAGCACACGAGGGCAACATCTGGGTCAAAGCTGAAAATGAAAAGCCAACTTTAGCTAAGGGTCTAAGCCCAGCGGCAACGTGGACTTTAAACAGCCCCAGACATGCCCTCAACAAAGAAAGAACCGTCTTAGTGGGACATTGGAGCACATCATCTGGAGCTGTAGGTGAATGGAAATCCCTAAGACTCAGGGCGGTTGAAGAGCTACAGAAGGATTGGCAAGGTTGTGGCAGGTAAACGCTACCTCATATCGGCTTACGTCCTAGTAGCATGGTTTGTGGGCATTGTACCTGCGCAGCACGACCTGACCCTAGGTATGCCATAAGTGTCCCAACGAAGGGCGTGCATCCGGCAACAGCTGGACGCTGTAAAAGCTAGGGTTACCTCAAGCGCTGAGAGGCGGAAACTACTTGTCCCCACAGCTACGCCCACTTCATGTATGGTGAGCGAGATAGAGTTGGCATTCCAACAAAGTGAGATGGAGTCATTACGTGGGCGGCTCACCAGCACGGCAAAAAGAGTCCGTTCTCAGCATGCATCCCGTCTTAATGCCTCTGAAACTGGGCATTCAGTAAAGAACACATTTAAACCTCTAGCTCAGGAGCAGCAGGAACGGTCATACGTTGGTGTTAAGCTGGCCGATATGCAAAGTGACGAAGGACGGCGACCAGGCTGGCCAGCTGCTAGTCGCCTAGGCATATTGCATGGAGCTCATTCCTAATCGAGCTTCAACCTATGTGCTGCGGTATTGGAAACTCCCACAGCATCAAAAGGAGACTCCATGGCAGGTAGCAGATTTGCTGGAAAAAGCAGAGTGCCGTAATCGGCCGGCGCACTCAATCATATCCCGTTTTCGGAGCTAAAAAAGGAAGGGAAGTGGCACAAGTGCATTATAGTGAAGATCTTGAACAAGATCTATACGAAGCATAAGGCTCTGATGCCTCATATTGACAAATTAAATGCCACACTATACAGGTCAACAGTGTACTGGAGATGTGACTTCACAGACGCTTCAGTACAAATTCTCTTTCAGCTTGAGGATAGGCACAAAAGGGCTTCCTACATCACACCTCAAGCTCAACTTCACCTCTACGCCCTTTGGACTTGCTAAAATTCAGCTGGACTAATGCACAGTATTCAAAATTTTGATGGCCTTCTAAGGCAGTACTTGGTGGCTGTCTACCTGGAAGACTGCTTAGTCTGCAGCCGAGACGTTCAAGCGCGCGTGAAGCACTTAATTCGAGTGCCATGTAGTAGTATGCGAATACACACAGGTGTTTGCTTTCATAAAACAACTGTGTAAGTGGAAGTCAATGATTCGCGTCCAGGAATCGACCCAGATCCAGGAATGATCAAAACAAATGCGGCCCTTACTTTCGACCACCCGCTAGTATGTTGCATAATCA